TATTATTTAAACATATAATATAAACATACCATAAAATGATGTGAGTAATTTAGTTGATGTAAATGCTAAGTATAATCCGTAAATAGCTGACAGATGACAAAAAACAAAAAATATTACGATTCCCCATAATATTTCAATCTTAACTGGTTCGAGAGAATTCGAGTTATCCATTCTATCTTGTTTATTTTTCTCCACTGAATTGAGATCATTCTAAAAAATATAAAACAAGTATTAAAAACATGTGGAACACGTCATAGAGTTATAAAAAAAAATCCTATTGACAGGGGTTGAAACAACGACTACCAAAAAAAATCAATCGACCAAAAGACGATTTTTAAAAACGTAAAATAATTAATTGTCTTCAACTTAACAATTTACCTCCATCATCGTGTTTTCTGCAGCTCCGGGGTTGTCCATGGCTCTGGAAGTGTTCATTCTTTCACTGGTTGTGGTGAATTCACCTGAAMTACTAAWGATTAGCCAAGGACTGCGATTKATTTTATATACCTGTGGAGAAGTTTGATAATTGAGAACGAAAAGATTAGAACCGGGTCAAAGGTGGAAAACAATACACATCTTTGGAATGCGAACGAAAATAAAAACAAGATTAGACTGTATATTCTAGCTGTCACAGTCCAAACACCACGATTTTAGTGGTCACATGCAAGATGCAACACGTAGTGAGTCATTTACCTACTCATATTGTTATTTGTAAAATATGTTTATTAAAATCCACAACGCGTTTTCTTTGGCGTTCAAGAAGTCGGGCCATGCCACAAAATAGGTATATCGGTACCACACTTATCTGACAATTAATTAGTCTCGTCTACTACTGTTAATTTAACTGTAATTTTAGTTCTTCTCCATGCAGCACCGTCGGGAGTTTAGACTTCAAAATATTTGCATAGGTACATTAATATTATGATACCTATTTTAATCGCTAATTATATCATATTATATTTTATAATTATTTTTTTTATTATGTAAAAAAAATGTATAATGCTTAGTAATTATAGTAATATTACTGTCGAACTCACTTCTTTGAAACGAGTCCGCGCATCGTATTTACTATGTAGACAACGCAATTCGTTTTTTGTATTAAGTAGGTAGCGTAGGTACGTCACAATATGATATTACATGATCAACTGAAGTCGACACTTCGACAGAATAACACTGKAGTACGTCTTGACGAGCGGACAACATTTTTTGTGGTACAGTGGTACAACAATGATAAACAGAACCGGCTACCGGAATGCTGGATCACGGACCTGTTGTCGACACCACGGAATCGTAACCACRGTTTAAGATCTAGTAATATAAGTCCGTGCTGCTGCAAAGTACTCGAATATGTTGGTATCAGTGCGTCGGCGATTTGGCAAAAAATACARTTAATTTTTTTATAGTTCTGTATTTTTGTTGATTTTCTGAAATACCTACCCCGTCTGACGCCGTCCGCTTTATTTTTTCATTGTATGAACAGCTTTAAGCTTAATTTTATGTTGAAACAGCCTTACATTTTGTAAAATAAGATTGTTCTTACTGTTAATAGTACCGTATAATAATTTGTATTCTAGTAAATTGATTCATTTATTTTTATAAACCCGAATAATTTATTTAATTTAAATTCTTCTGGGTCACATTTCATCAATTTATTGGTATCACTTATTTCAAAATTAGGTATACATTTGAATATTTAACTATTTGAGTATTAAACTTTTTACTTTTTATATACAACAATTCAATTGCACATTATTTACTACTTTTTCAGTTTTTATTCATGCGGTTTATCTTTGTTAGTTATTCCATTCGTCGTTAGTATAGTGACAACTGACAATGCTTTTTAAATTATCAATCAATTAATTTTAGTATTAATGGTTGATGAAAAATAATATTGCACAATTTTACTCCATAATTTATTTTAACTTACTACTTAGTAACTAGGCTTACTATACCTACCTATAACTTAAAATCAGTCTACCCGCTACCGTGACTTCAGTATTAATGGACAAATAGATAATAGAATTTTATTTATGGTATTTCGTAATCATTTATTTCCTTTATTGGCTTTATTGCTTATTTTTCGTATACTTTAATCGTATCCAAAATTGTAGGAGTACCTAGTTTTTTATTCAAATATTTTATGTAATTTATTTGTGAATCATTTAGAAAAATATTAAAATAGATTTAAACTATTATATAAACTTTTTGGTTCTTGTACGAACTATACTTTTGACGAACCTGATGTTAAATGTGCACGCATTAATTAATATAAATATTTAGCACATTACATATTTTTAACTACATTTTTTTTTAAATTTTCGTGATTTTGACT